ATCCAATTTCTTCTGTGATGTCTTATTCTACCTGCTTCTCTCCTTCTTCCCACGCACAGCTTTTAATTCCATTAAGACCTTGTCATCCACAAATCTATCTGTGGGCATTTATACTTAATCATCTTTTCTTGAGCGGCATGAGCTCAGATTATCTGTGCCTCATCTTTGGTATCATTTTCACTGGTGGAATATGAGTGCACCAAAATGCCCCGCTATCAGGATGCTTTACAATTTGGCACGTTACAATGACTCTGTAAGTATAATCCCCTTTTAGAGCTCTGCATAATGGGCAAATATTGATGATGGGCCAGATGATTTCTTCCTGCAAGCTATGTTATAAAGTTGGTTCATACATGTCCAAGCTGAGAATGCAGTAAATGCAAAAGAAAACTGCTTTTAGTGTCTGCCTGATCCTGAGCCATGAGTAGCTCTAATGTTTTTCAGCCACTAATAGTCTAAAATAGCCTTATGAATCATTTGATTCACATATCTGACATTTTCTGATCCTCAAGATTATGCTCCACCCAAGAAGTTACTTTGGTGGAGCTAAACGGATCGTTGGTATTGCCAGCTTTGATCCCAGCTGCTCACCTGTTGGAAGAAGAAATGAGATGTGGGGTTTGTATTGCGTTATCCCACCTGAACCTGGTGATTAATGCAATGAAATCTGTGGTGTGATGAATCTGGCAATGAGAATGCTGAACGCAGCCCTGCAGGTGCGATGGAAGGATCCATCATCAGGTCTCAGACTGCCTTTTGCACACTCAAGAGAACCAGCCAAAAGCAGAAGAGTTCCCTCAACCCATTTAAATTGTATTTTCGGTTAAGTATGTTGAAAAGTATCATTTTAATCTCTGAGGGGTTTTTTCCTTTTAAACAATAATGGCTACATTCCAGGGAAAGTCATGCCCTTTTAAATCTCATTTATTTAAATTTGATGGAATTAACCATGAGAGATTAAGTCATGAAGTTTATTGTGCAGCAAATATAGGTCTGGTTCCAAAGCACTGATTCATGAGTTCCAGAGACTTGCTGATCATAAACTGATTTGTCACCAATCCTATAAATATCTACCCAGTGGAGTTACCCCTAGATAAGTAAATATAGGAATGCAGTCTAAAGCAATCTGATGGCATACTTCTACTATTAACTAATTAATGTTAGCATCCACTTATTTTATATTTAAGGTTACTAAATGAATTACAAGTGAGAATCTCACTGTCCATCCAGAAGATATGAAAGGGAAGAAAGCATCCATAGAATTAGTACTCTTTAACTGATCTGATTTGGTATATAAAAACTAGTTAAAATGTGGTAAGGGTTCATGTTATGTATGAACATGGTTCTTCAACTTAGAATTTGTTAAGACTATTAGGCAGGAAGTTAATAGCAATCATTTTGTAGCTTTAATTTTTTTCCTCATCAGAAGCTATCTGGTTTTTCCTTGACTTTCTTATAGATCCCAAGTGAACAAGTTCCTTCTATTTTCTCTGCCAGCTAATTTCCTGCACTCCCAATGCAAGAAACCTATATTTCATAATGACCTCATTTTTACTACAGCTGAAACACTTATGCATTTTTTTTTTTGACTATCTGTGCTAAGATCCCTAGACTAGTCACTTCCAAAATGCACCAGTCACACCAGCCACTGACAATCCTATGAAAGGCGATGCTGGAGTTGTGGGATAATTTTGGCTGCAATCCTATCTATATACACTTACCTGGGAGTAAGTCCCACTGAATTCAATGGGACATAGGTACTTCTGTGGATCCTCTCAAAGTGACTAGGAGTGCATTGTGAGAGGATCCGGAGCAAACCCCTTCCCTATTCCATTTTGTAGAGTGTCTAGATTCAATTAGAACATCAGGATATAAAGAATGTCCAAAGCAGAAGTGATTCTGAAATCACACTGAAGTGGAAGAGAACTGAACTAAGGTTTTACAGGTCTTTGATAAATACTATAAATAGCTCATGCTCTGTCCCGAAGTGCATTTGGAACCTCCCAAATTATTTTTAATTCTTACCAGCCAACTTTAATAATGCTAGATGTATTTTTTTTCACCCAGAGGACCATCATACAGCTTAGCTGAATGAGGAAATTATACATACTTCCATCAGATAATTATTATTTCAGGAAACAGGTCCAGAACACCCAGGCACTTTGTTATACAAAGAGTTGTTGACGGATTCTGAACTGTATGTTAGGAGTGGCTCCTGGCATATTCTCTCATAAAAAAGCAGCCTTAACCTCCCTGCTTTTGTCTAAAGAACACCTCTTGTTATGTATTCTTCTACTGATGCTAACATCATACTTTATTTACTGAATTTTGCTTTGAAAGTCTATGTCAAAGCACAGTTCTGTGCAGGTTTGCTTCCAGCATTCTAAACAACAGTCACTCCAATAAAGGGCCTCTACTAATTTGGTCAAGGAATGCTGTAAAAAGAAACTTTCAGGGGTGATACTGAAACTACATTGCAGAGGTTTCAGCTCATAGCACTGTTCTAATCTGTAAAGGTCTGCTATATGTTTGTGCTATCTGAGAGCTGGCCCCTGTGCTAAGATTAGATATTTGTCTGTGCAAAGAACAAAGTAATTCCAAGTATGTCAAAACCTTGTGTATCTATGGGACATTAGGAAAGTGAGCCAGGCTTTTAATGGCCCAACAACATGAAAACCAATGAGTGCAAAGTTTCAGAGAGTGTATCTTTCTTATGGAAGAAACTGAGGCTGTGTCTGGGACATAGCATCAATTCAAGAGCTGGCTAATAATGGATAAGCAAATGCTTCATGGGCCAAATGCACAATGTGCAAACAAATTGTGTAATCTGCACTAGAGGCAGGTGTGTCCCTGAATGTAATTCTGATGTTGGGGTTCCCTGAAAAGCAAATAGCAGTGTCAGAACTAGGCTGTCCTGTGCCATCTATTTCCTCCACAAAAAGATATATTCTTGAAGGTTGATCGATTCTGCCAACATAACTGAGTCTCCTAAAAGCATGTGAGGGACTAACCCCTTAACCCAAAAGATGGCATGTACTTAAAGTTTAAATAATATTATTTAAATAATAGCACATTGTGAGAAGAGCAGGTGAATGCTATATTTTGCATTTCTATCAGCATTTGCTTTCATTTTCACCCTGATTTCTCCCATTTTTTCTGTAACTCAATTATATTTTCAGCTTAAGCAATAATTTTGCTTAAGTAGCTGGCGTCCCAGAATAGAGACAAGTGAAATTGAGAACCAGGGCAGCCATCTTTTTTGGAGACTGCGAATCTGTACATTCTGTGAGTGTCTTGAATTACACTTTAGCAAGACATGGTGCCATTTAAAGTGCACCGTTAAGGGGGTGCATCATCCACTTAACCCATCAGATGGTAATGGACAAAGAAGTAAAGGCTTGACATCCCTAGCCATGCAGAAGTGAAATTTAAAGGCAGCTGTTGCTCAGAACAAGATGAACCAGCAAGTTTCTGCTCGGTGCTATAGTCCATTTATCAGAGGTCCTGCAATGTTATTTATCGGGAGTTCCTTGGTGAAGAAAGTAGTAACGGTGAGCACATTTCCACTGGTGGCAGGTTTCCCAGCACTGCCTCTCTCCACTAACAAGGCACACATCTAGGCAAGTGTTCATACCACACCCCCAGTCCACCACAAGGTACCAACGAGGGCCAGCTGTTCAAGCTGGGGCCAAGTATGCACAAGGTACCTGAAAACATGCCTCAGATATTTTTGCAATACCATTGGGTTTTGTAGCAGAAGTACAGGAGCAGCCATTATCCATCTTCACAATCATACTTAATGGATAAGTTTCCTCTACAGAATTTTAAAACACTGTTATGGTATACATATATAATTAGGAGTAAATCCCACTGTACTCCACCTGTAGAATTGCAATAACTGGGAACTCCTTAATGTGAATGATCTGTTAATTTCACCTGCTCCCTACAGATCAAATTATGATACATGATTTCTTGCTGTTTGGGAAAGGGCTGTGGAAAGGGCACACCCTACAACAGGGAAGAACTGACTCTAAGGTCTGAGCCACTTGGATTTAATATAGGTAAAGTATTTCACTATACACTCTGTAATATGAGTAACTGGTTATTTGCTTAAAACCTGTTTGCAGTTATTTGTGTATTTATGATACTGCATTATTTTAATAGGATTTATAGTTTTAAAACTTTCATGCTTTTAAGTAAATGTTCTTACAGGGTTTGCTACTACATTGGTGTGTATTTTTCAAACTTTTTTGACAACAGAAACTGCAGAATTTAGAAGTAGCATGGGTAAACAAGTGCACAACCAGGAGAAGACAGGGTTAATAAAGAGATTTTTAAGGAAGTGGAACAAAACGTGAACAAAAATGGAAGTGGTTTCTGGGTTTAAATGAATGTGGCTTCTTCAGACATTAGTATTAAGTGACGTCCTGCACGTCGCAGCTGCAGGGTTCGAATTACTTCATCCTGAGTACTTTCCTTTTAAAGATCAATTGAAGCCAGTGGCAGTAGCACAGGACAAACAAGTCACAAGCTGACTCTCACAGAAGATGCTTTTCGCTCTGCTTTCACACGGCCTCTTATTTTAAAGTTTTGACCAGGCACTAGTTTTTGAAGCTAAAGCAACCAAGGCAGCTGCAGTCTTCAGCCTCCCCGGCGCACTGCAGGCTCAAAATTTAGCCTGGAGGCCGCACACGATGCACATGTGTGCAAATGTTTGCATACCAGTATCAACACTGTTCAGGGGAAGCTTTATTGGCTTGTGGGTGTGACAAAGATTTATACTTGAAAGTTGAAACTGGGCTAGTGTGCGAACGACCTGGCTACCAAAATCCATAGATGACAGAAATGAGATCACAGATCTTCTGTATAGAAGTACATTCCACATGCCCATCACTTATATGCCATTAACCCTCCCCCCACCTTTTTCTGTCAGAAAAAGATTATTTTATAGATAAAGGACAACCTCCCCTCCACATCTTCTAATAATTAAAGCACAACACTCATATGGGTAAGAGATGTAATAAAAAAGGCAAGACATTGTGTGTATTTGCACAAGGTACAAACAAATCTGGAAAAGGCATGAACAATGACAAATACAAATGTATAAATGCATAAAGTCCTCTTATGGTGGGAAAAATATATAATCTGGGAAAAATATATGCCTGATATGAAAAATAAAATAAGCCAAAATGAAATAATCAGTTCTATAAACAGAAGCCTGGCCTGCAAGCAGAAATCCTTTGATGTGGAGACACCATGGAGAGCGAGAGTTTCTGACACCCCAGAGTACAGGTTTCCAAAGGGAAGTTCACAAGGCGAGTCAAAGCCATGTCATAAAACCTTCACAGATGCTCTTGTGAAGCGCTGCTCTGACAGTGTCCATCAGCATTAGAGCAGGAAAAGACAGGCAGGCAGGGTGGACTGGAGGGCAATGACACCAATGGTTCAGATCGAGTCCATCCATATTAATTCCCCCATTTATGCAAACAAACAAAGCAAAATGAAAAACATAAATGCAGTGGTTTACAACTAGAAACAGAAAGATTGATTGGTTGTGTCTAGAGCAGGGGGCGAGTATGTATATTTATGTCCAGAACACAAATTAGATATATCTGCAAAATTTAACTTCAGAATATTTGGAATCTGCTATCAGGAATATATGATATCTGGGGAACAGCAAATAAGTGTGTAGGGGCTGGGAAGCAGAGACCAAGGAGCAGAGTTTAGAGCATTATCACATCATCTCTGCAGTCATCATGTTTTTTTCTATGATTTTAAGACCTGTAAGTATATTTCTTTGCTTCGGTATAATAGTGACACATCCACTCCCACAAGGACAAACTTCTATATTTCACAATGGAATCATGGAGGATACTAATTTTTTTATCCCCTAAAAATGATTGCCTATAAAGAAATTATAAGGGAAAGTATACTATATTTTATTAGGAAATGCCAGTCCCTCTCACATAAGAAAAAAAGATTAGTCTGGCCACAAACATGGGCTTAAGTCAATGATTTTCCATTGTTAGTCATGCCTCCTATTGTTACATACTCTTCTACCTCTCAGCAGAGAGAGGAGCAAATTCATGCCCTCCTGGAATTAGTTACTGCCAGATTCCTTAACAATGCAAATAAGTGATTCTCTTTTGTACAGCAGCAGCTAGTGGTGTCTGCACAGGTATGTGAATGGCACTGTCTGTAAAAGCTAGAGAAGGCTGGGGTTATTTTTGTGCCTACAAAAAAAAATTATGTAAGACTGTACAAGAATTAAGCCTGTAATATATAGTTATGTGCTGACGTGTTTACCGGGACTACCTGTGTCAAGTGAAGCAGGACAATCTATGTTTGGAACTAACGCAGTTCTTCCTTTTCCCAAATTCATGCACTGGGTTCTTTTATTCCTCCACTGCTAGTTGAGTGGAAATGAGAGCAGAAGCAGAGCTGCATATCAGGAAGAAACTCAGCTAAGACACATCTATTTTTATCTGACCTGAAACAAAGCTTATTATGGCGAACGACTGGGATGGAAGCTGAATTCTGGGTGGTGGCTGCAGCTATCGACACAGACATCCATCTGGTGGCAGAAACATTCTATTTCACCCATGGAACTGCATCCAAAATCTAACAAAACAAAGCACAACACCAGCCAGCATGAGATGAGAATTTGTGCTCATGCCAAATGTGAGAATGGCGTCCTGCCTCAAAGTGCTTGGCACGCGTCTTCCAAGGCCGCCAGTTCGCCATCTGTTCCACGGGGGCTCCCTATTGTGGTTTCTTCCAGGTCGGAGGTGCTGCGGGCCCCACTGAACAGGTGCGATGCTGCAGAAAGGGGGGGTGCCTCTTGGTGGGGTGTCTCCACGGCCTGCTCCCCTTCAGCATTGGTCTGAAAAGAATGATGCGTGCAGGCGGGAGGGACTGGCACCCTCGGTGGGAGGAGTGCAGCTACCTTCCTCGGACTGTTCTGACAGTTCCCCATATTCACTGTTGTAAAAAGTCTGGCCCCGGAGCTGGGAAGGGAATGATGGTCGACATCTGCCCCTCAGACCGGACTGCTCAGCTATCGAGTCCGCGGTTGGACTGGATCCTTTACTGCTGTTGAGGAACAGAGAGTGCCGGAAGTCAGTTCCGAGAAAGAATTGCTCTAATGAATAGTCTAGGAAAAGTCTAAGCAGCACAAGCTATCTAGCAGGTGGCGATTAGGGACCAGGTGTGAAGCTACCTGGCAAGTAGGATGTTCGGAAGCAAAAATAACTTTCCAATGGGAAACTGAAGGCAGTGAACCAGAAATGGGAGGCTCACAGAGATGTTATATAAAACTTTGAAGCTGCAATCAAGAGCTTAATAAGTGAATCCACCTGACAGCTCACTTCTAAAAACACGTGCTGGGGAGGAAGCCCCCATTCTGAGTAAGTGTGCAGGGGAGTGCAACACACAGTCATCTGAACACCAGAGGTTTCAACTTAGTTTTGCTTAAAAATGAACAGATCAGGCATATAGTTATGTTTTCACTGGTTCCTGCCCTACAACAATATTAAAATAACCTGTCCTCATGCATTTTCTTTCTGTGTGTGGAAAAACAGCACTGTCGCTGAGGCCTTGTAAGGAGGTTTAGTCCATTTGCTGCTTTTTAGTGCCAGAGTGGAATCACACACATCCCTCAAAGTCACAGTCATTTAAACAAAAAAGTGAGTTTTATGAAACAAAAGAGGGGCACAGATATGAGCAGGAGAAGAGTGTTTGCACAGGTCTAGGCTGTTTAGTTTTGTGCAGGTACTTCGGCTCTCCGGTCCTGTAGTGTGGTGGTGAGGAAGCTTTATCACCCCGAGAGCCACACGGGTACCTTGGAAGCATGTTGGGCCACCACGTGCCAGCAGCCTGGAGACTCCCCCTCAACCAGGCGTCCCTTTACAAGGCACAGGCAATTCCTATGCATGCCTCTCTGCACACGGAAAGGGGCAGCCCGTCTCCTCACACAGAGAAGCATGATGGCAAACGAGCAAGGAGGAAGAAGCCAAGTCTTTTCCTCCATCAGCAGGCCAGCGCACTCTTCTGGGAGGTGCCGGATGGCCTGGAGGTGGCGGGGCCTTGGCAGGAAGAGTATGGAGGCCTTGCGGGTCAAGCCACCCCATCAGCGAGTGGCTCTCCCATCCCTTCTTTAGCGATACAGGAGGGACGTGCTCAGCCTTTAAAGCAGGAACAACAGTGGCAGCAGTAATGCATGACCCAACACATTTTAACTCTTGCTTCCCTCAGTGGGAGAGGCAGAGGGACGCTCCCCGCTGAAACGGACAGAACGCAGCGTAGCGTTGTCCCATAAGAGTGACAGAGCAGGCTGAGGCACATAGTGAAACGCTGCGTTGGGGGTCGAGAAGGGCTGCCGTTAATCAGCGCTGTCACGTTCCCTGCCCAGCGTGTGCCTCCTGCAGGCACTCGGCCACATTCCTTTTGGCATGCAGCTGTCCTGCTTGCGGGGAACCGCGGCATTTTCCCAGGGACAACATACTCCAGTTTGAGCACTGCAGAGAGGCCCTATTTCTACAGGACATGTGCTGCCTTACGAGAAGTCTGCTTTCCTTGCTTGACTGTTCAGAAAGTCCCTTCATCCTCTTTTGTATTTCGTCCCTACGTAAGATGCTTCCTCTTTTTCCTTTCTTGCACGGTTTCAACTGGCTCTGCTCAAAACCCATTAAGCTCAATCAGCCCGTTTTGTTGCAAATGCCTTCAGGAATGCTGCCGCCAGCAGGAGGTTGCAAGAGGATGGATGTGCTTGCATTTCTGTGTCTCCAGCACATTTACAGGAGACTGCAGTGAGATTTGCTGCCGAGAGCCCGGGTGGCTATTGTATGTTACCAAGGAATGCAAGACACAGACAGGAGAGCTAAGCAATGAAGTACCTGAATGCACCTTCTTTTCTGTGTCTATTTTCTATCCTCTCAAACTCTTCAGATGCCAGAACCATCCCACTGTCTGTCTGATTATCCTGCAAGAAAACAGAAGCCGTATTACAAAAGCCAGGCCTGTAGAGAATACACTCGACCAGCTGTCGACAACACAGGATGCTGCTCTGGAGCCAGCTGCACTGGCTCCCTGCTCCTGTCTGGGCCCCATTCAAAGTGTTGGTGTAGACGCAGAAAGCCCTAAATGGCTTGGGACCAGGGCACCGAAGGAGCGCCTCTCCAGACATGCTCACCCGCCCACTTAGATCATCTTCTGAAGTCCTCCTTCAAATACCGCCCCCCATGAGATTAGAGGGGAGAGGGCTTGGAGGGGGCATTCTCTGCAGTGGTGCCCAGACTTGGAGTTTGCTCCCCAGGGTCTTGCGGTTGGTGCTGACCTTGCTTTCTTTTATTTAGGTGCCAGGTAAAAACTTTCTTCCACTGACAGGCATTTGGTTAATTTAATTTGTGCTTTGTTCTTGATTGATTTGATTGGTTTTGTTTTCAATTATTTGGTTGTACTTGGGTTGTGCTTGTGCATGATCCTTTATTACCATTTATTCTGTATCAACTAGTATAACACTTTATTAATGTTATTGTTTTTAAATTATTTTATTTGCTGTATTTTTATATGCTGGGCTACCATCTTGTAAGTTGCCCAGAGAACCTTCAGGTTATGGGATGGCATAGAAGTATAATGAAGTAAGTAAATAAATAATACTGAAATGTTCGTACCATTAATCACCTTTCCTGTGGGTAGAAATTGCAAAATAAATTCAGAGTGGTATGAGGGGAAGATGCAGATGAAAGTGAATAGAAAGTAGGAGGTGCCTACTGTTTCCATTGCCCACCAATTTTCCACTTCAAAGGTTCTTTTCAATATATTCTCCTGCACTCCAAGCAGCCTCCAAAATCAACTGCAAGCAAGGTTATGAGAAAAAAGACTGGGGGAAGACGCTGAGCGGGATGGTGGGTATCAGTGTGGTATGGAAGCTCTCCCTCACTGCGCTTCTCTCCTAAAATCCCTCTTCTACCCTTGCAGGCACACTGGGGCTCTTTAATCATGATGGCAGTGACTATTCTATTCTGGCATTGCCACTGCATGTGAACTAGTATGACGTCTGTTCCTGTGCGCTTGGGGCTGTTCGTGGGTTAAAGAGACCAAGGTTGACCAAGGTTTTGCTTAGCTGCTTAATCCATGAACAAGCCCAAGTGCCTGGCATGGAGTTGGGAAACTGGAAACCAGAGGAATCGCATGTACTGTGCATGTCCCTGCCGTTGATTAAAGCCTAGATTCCCACCTACTGTTGCTGATAGTAGAAACAGGGCCATTAAGGGGTTCAAAGAGGTTTGCGCATAAACTGTAGCTCTACTCTAATTCCACAGGAACACTGTGTCGGGCTTTCTGTGGGCATGAGGATCCTTGTCCTGGAGCAGAGTAGCTTTTGGAGCAAGGCTAGGTTTCGCCTCTGCTTGTGACACGTGAGGATGGATAGCCATGGGCCAGGAAGCCCCACCTGAGCCTGCATGGGCGAACACGCCTGAGGCTGGTGCCTCCCCACCCCCGCCCCCCATGGAAATCATGATCGAAACAGCCTGCCAGAGAGATGCTTGGTGGGCTGTCAGGAACAGGACTGCTTGGGGGAAAATGGAGAATGGGATCATCACCTCGTGCCACCTTCCCCATTTCAAGTGTGCCTCCTGTTGGTTTTTGGGTTCTACTGGAAAAGCCTGCTCTTTTTCAGTTCTACTGGAGCAATAGAGGTAGAAGCAGGGTGGGGAAAGGAACTGGGTTGTGAAGGTGGTGACAGCAGCCTGGGTGCCTGTCATGGGCCACACGAAGTCCTCTGAGGGCTGCATGCAGCCCACAGTCTGTAGGTTGTCCAAATCTGGGTTTCAAGTTCCCTGAAGCTGAGAGCCAGAAATAATTAGTGAGATGTGTAGCTAAGAAGAAGAGGGTCTTTTCTGTTGTGGCACTCCCGTTATGGAACAACCTTCCCAGAAGCAGCTCAGCTGACACTTCTGCTGTGCTTTTCCAGTGCCAATGAAGATGTTATTTTTTTCAGGCATTTTAGTATTTCAGTTCCTGTCATTTACTGAATCTTTGCATTGCTCTATGTTTTACTTTGGCATTTACTTCTATTTTATAAGCTATTTTTAAACTTGTAAATGTCTATAGTGTATCTTATGTTGTATTTTATGGTTTTAATTATTGTGAACTTCCCAGAGAGCTTCAGTTATTACATGTATAAAAGTAAATAAATAAAATTATGAGCCTGGACAGCACCCATATCCTATATTTAGAAGACTTCATTCAACTCATCAATACATCTGGTTTCTGATGTGAACTTTTGCGAGTACTAACACCATGGTGGAAAATGCAAGTGTGGTGTATATTTTTTAGTCTTCTAGATAAGTTTTTAAATTGCAGTGCCAAATGAAGACAGATTGAGCTGACTTTTCCCCCGCTTTCCTCCTGTAATCAAACAATCTTGATTTACTCACCAGATGTGCCTTGTACATGGTTTGTGTCATAGGAAATTCTTCAAACGTCTTTATTCTAGATGGACACCTTATCTGATTCCCACCAGTCAAACACCCAGGGAAAGACACACAGTTGTAGTATCTGGGGGAAAAAGAGGCCAGAGAAGATATAGCTAGGACACTTGCTCCAAGTATGGGAGTCCTTCCTTTAAGTCAGCCTTCCCCAAGCTGGTGCCTTCCAGACGCAATTCCCATCTACTTCTCATATCCAGGACATCATTCATGCACATTTCCACCCTCTGATTCTGGAAGCCCTTCCCAGTTTGGGGTTGGAATAAACCAGCAAGTTTTGCTTTATACATATCTGGATGGTATAAGCATAACCTACAGGGCAGTACTTTTCTCAGGAAAGGTTATGAAGGATACCACCCAATTACTAAAAAACAAAGGGAAATTGCTGCACCACATTTGCCTGCAGCCTCGAGTTGTGAAGTGACAGGAACTATGTGGATGACACACAGAGAAGAGCAAAAGCCTCACATGATGAATCCTGCCCCCTGCTTCGTGTTAGCCTATTCAAACAGATGCTACACTCTGCAAGGTTAGCCTAAGAGCCAAACCAGACTTTCCAGCCTAGGAATGTGTGTAACATTGTCCTCCTCCTGGTGGAGGCACGGTGGACGGCCATTGCTCAGCAGTGGGGCACTTGCTTTGCATGCCGGAGGTCCCAGACTTGGCGTCTCGTGCGTCCAGTTAAGACATGCATTAGGGAGCAGCTGACACAAAACACCTCTTGCGAAAGGCCCTGGAGGAAGTTTCTTATGTCAGGGTTGGGACGAGACACAGCGGAACCTGCCCCTCCCACATTTGTGGTCTTCCTCTAATACTCAGCCCAGCCTGAGAAAGGGAGCTGAGGTAAGAGAAAGTCTGTGAATGTTTGTGCAGTGGAGATTGTGCAACTGCCCACCTTTCCCTGCATCAGATGCAGCAGCACAAACAAAAGGGCTTGTGCAGAACACGGGGCTTGTTCCTGGCGAGCACCCTGCAAATGCTGCTTGTGCGTACCAGGAACTCGGAGGCAGGACTGTGACAAAGCAGACTGGAGTCCAGGCAGCCAAGCCCAGCAAATCTGATCAAGTCTCCCCCTACCCACCGCCAACAGATCACATATCCCTATCTTGCATTTTCTGTTTAGAAATGAAAAACAGCCTCACGAGACAGTGAGGAGTAGAAGATCAGCAGAGCAAGGGGGTCTTTAAAAATTCACTGAACAGATCAAAATCTCCTACTTTCTCTTCTTCTGCACAGGGTCCTTTGAATATCATTTTCCCCATGCACTCTCCCACTTCCAGTTACAGCCTCTGGAAGAGTAGAGCTCTTTGTTAAGACCAGGGGTGGGACGGGACGGAAAGTTCAAGGGAATGCTGCACACATCCACATGCAGCATCTAGCGAGGCTGAAACATGCATCCTGGGATGAGTACAGATACAGCCCATGGTTCCGCCCTGCATAACTAACCTGATCTGACTCAAGAGTATAGAGCAGCTTTTCCCAGCCTGGTGTCCTCCAGAACAGTCCAATATTTTCTGGAGGGCACCCAAGACTGGTGTAAAGACTCCCTTACTCAATGTGCATGCCCCAACACTGAAAACGTCCCGCACAGTCTACTTCGACAGAGACCTTTGATCCTCTAGGAGACACATGGACCTTCTAGAAGTGGTGGCTCAAAAGCCAACTGGCTCTTTGCTAGGCTGTTCTGCCTGCCATGTGTCCCAGGAATCCCCAGAGATGTACCTTGCCGCTATATTGTGACAGTGTATCCTCATGTCAAATTCCTCTTCGTCAGAGTTCTGCTGGATGGAGGAAGCCACCTGAGAGAAGCCATCATCTTCTGAGCTCTGAGAGTCATTCAATGGGATATAGTCCTTCCCCTCCTAATGGGAATGTAAATAAACTGTTATTGGCAAGGAGAGTAGAAGAGTCAACAAGTAAGAAACAGCAACAACTGAAGTGAATGCAGATTTTCAGATTTCCTTTCTCCTTCAGGGGAAAAACCTGTCAAAGCTTTGTTTTTAGAATGTCTAATCAATGGTTCTATAAGCCATGCACATGCTTGCAAGGAATCATGGGCAGGGGTGCATCAGGAAGAAAGCAAGTAAATTAAATCTTTTTATCTCAGAAAGTAACTCAGTGTCTAGCCTTTCCCAGCATTTCTCAAATAGCAGAGATAAGATGTGCAACCCTCTGTTATCATTCATCCCACTTAATGGTTTGTAGGCTGCAGTATCTTCTTGTTCCTTAATACATTGTGCCCACCTGCATGATCTTGTTCCCAAGGTGCAAGAGGCACAAATAAGCACAAACACTGTATTGGACCAATTCTGGATTGCAGACTTCAGCACAGTTTTCTTCCAGAACCATTACAAGAGTCCTAAGGCAAAGTGGGAGGTGGGAGAGATGGAGAAACCCCTCTGAAGAGAGGAAGTAGTTTGATATAAGGTGTATCCTGCCTGGACCACATACTAGCAGAACCTTTTCCAGATCAATGCCAAATGTCATCTTGCAGATACTCTCAGGAACCACATTTCAACAGTGAGCAAATGGGGAGGGGGCAGAGGGCAAGGCCAAATTCATCACCTACCAGCATATCATAACCTACAGGTCTTACCTCCAGCATCTAAGCATTCAACTTTTTAGAATGGGGGGAAAACCTGTGCGAAACCTGCCAAACAGTCAATGATCTATGGCTGGGGAAAGGGGGCATGGTCAGATTTGGTCCCTGCAGTTCCACACCGCTGAGGAAGAACTTGGCAGAGCCGGAGAGTCATCTCTCTTGAGTCCAAGGGACTGCTGACAAAACAAATACTGCCTGAGCAGAGGCATCTAAATCATGGAACTGGAGGAAGACACTCTCTTTTGAACTGTCAGTGGTTTCATATATTTCACAAGCCTGGAACCTGATTAAAACTGTGTCAAATTCACAGCATTAATTGTGTGGACACAGATGTCTAGAATAAAACACAGAAGATAAGCTAGTCTCAGCTGAAGGTTACTTGAAATTTTAAAAAAGAAGAAACAGCAGAGAGCAAGACAAAAAGCTGCCAAATAGTGAAACCGAATCTATCCTAGATCTGCACAATATTTTTCCACAATACTGAAGATACTTTGCAAGTTCACAAGATGATCCTTATACATTTGCTCATGAACCCCGGATAAGAAGGTCTTCAAGTGAGCCTGGTAACCTACACTGTAGTAACTATTGGTGACAGTGGTGACAAAGCAGGCATGTTTGAGGAAGTTTCGAAACACTTAAAAACTGAGATTTCTACAACAATCTTGGAGGGGAAATACACTCCAGCCATCAGGCTGTGACCTTGTTTGGACTGCAGCTGCCCACGGCGAGTTAGCTGTTCACTTAATAACCCTTCACAGTGTTGACAGACGATCAGTCTTTGCAAGGGTATAGAGGGATTGTTTCCGAATGATTCATGGGTCCAACCACAGGTTAGTATCCTGGGGCCCTTGTGCGGAAATCATTGTCTTGCTATCCTTTGTCCTTCTCCCATGTAAGCGGCCTTTGCACAACTGGTCTGCTCACTGCTCTGAGTCTGACTGGACTTTGCCAGCTTACGATGGAAACTCTTCCCACTCGTCTTTGCCTTTGGCCAGCGGGAAGCTGCATGATTAATAAAATCGATGCACCTGAGCCCTCTCCCTTTGCACACTGAGAAACAGCTTGATCTCCCCTGAACTCCACCCTCTCTCCCTTCTTCCCTCCCCAGCCTGAGAAATGGCAAGCCCTGTGATGCTGGGGTGAAGGGACTGGGAGTGGGCAGGAGGGACCCCTGATGCCAGCCTCCTTCGTGGGGTGGCTCCAGGCTCGCACTCCCTTCCAGAGCAGGCTGAGGGGGTCACTGAGCCTGCTGCAGCCGCTGGACAGGGCTTATCTGTGGTCCAGCTGACTGACCCTGGGCTCCCATGGACTTTCTAGGATACCGGATGGAGGAGTAGTTGGGTTGGGGCTGTGGGAAAGGAGGAAGAGGCCAGGAAGGGTCGAGGAGATTGGTGCATCTCTGTGTCTTAAGTTAATTCAGACTTCAAATTCAAGATGTGTTACACTAGAAATTGAATTGTAAAAGTATTCCCCACATAATTTCAGTTAAAAGGTGAGGGCTTGAAAGAGCACTTCTGCCCAGTTGCTTCGAGTGGTGGCAGGATGCCAGTAAGTCGGAGAAGGTTAAACTGGGAGAAGAACAGACTCCTTCAAGGTTGCAGTATTTATTGCACACAATTTCTCTTGAGGGAGAGGCAAAAAAAGGCTCTGAGAAATGCAGCTGCAAGGTTGTGTTGGAGGAGGGGAGTGGAATAGCAAGAGGAAAAGCAGGCCTGATCAACTCTGCCTGTTGCTGGGCTGGGGAGAAGGGAGGGTTCACATGGAGAAGCTGTTTCTTTCTCCTCCTCCTTCCACACAGCCCTGGGGCAATTTTCATCCACCCATGACCATGCTGCTCCTCTGAATTCAAGGAACACGCCCTTCCTCTCCACATGCTCACAATTCTAGAACAAGCCACCGGTTCTCAGGCTGGCTTGTCAGAACAAAATAAGCCCCCAAGTGCGGGGAGGACCCTGCCTGGGTAACCTATTGACAAATGCCCGGCTCAACAATAACAAGCCCTTCCGTGCTGTCTGAGCCCAGCCAGGGTCATGCAATCTTCTCCCAGATCACTTTACTGCGGCTGGTTGGAGTTCTTCCAGCTCATTCCCACTTCCCTGCCAAGCATCAGGAACTGCTACAGCCAGGCGCTACCGACGGAGTGCAGCAGTCTGTTGGTGCAGTCAATGCCTTTTCGCTTGGTGCACAGGTTTTGGTTGTGTAAGGTCTAACTGATTTCTGTGTTTGCTTAGTGGGAAGGATATGTCCCCACACGAATCACACAGGCAAAGCCCTAGAGGATCTCCTGCTTAGGGGCCTGAACCACCTTGAGGGGCTGCTGATGCAAATACCTGTGCACAAGTCACCCACTCCTGTTCTGACACGTGCTGTCCTGCATTCTGCATGGGCTCCCTGTGCAATGTGGTCGTCTGGCTTTGTCAACAAAGCTGTTTCAGAGCAAGGGGCTGCAGAACGAACCACTGGGCTTCTACAAGTCTTGCTGCTGCTGCATAGGTTGTAACAACACAACTGAAACACAGCTTTTGCTTCTCGTTCCTATTTGAACTGCTATTTGGTAGCAGGATCATGACACAGTGCGGGAGGCACACGCCCCACATCTCTGGGGAGAAGCTGTTTGCTTCACATTGGCCACTCCTCAAATAGGGGCATTCATTGGAAATAGGAAGAGTCAATCAAATTGTGTCTGACCTATGGACCCTTAGTTGCAATGGCCATTTATATATTTATCTTTGTTTGTGTATTTCTAGGCCACTTTAAGGCAAAAATAGTACACAATAAAAATGGTACAAAGCCCATACATTAAAGCCCAGTAACTGCACATTCATTAAAATCCAATCAAAACAAATGTTGCCAATAAAACTATCAATACAAATGGAAGTTCCCTTGAACCAGCAGCCCAAGAATTTTATAGAAAGGCCAGTGAAAACAAAGGCCTGACAAACCTCTGATGGAAACTTTTTCTCGATGTGTGGGGCCACCACTAAGAATGCCCTCTCCTTTGTACTCACCAGCTGAACCAGACTCAGCAATAAGCTAGTGAGAAGGGTATATACTGACAACCCTCATCGGAACTTCCCAGTCGGCACCAAGGCCAGGGGCACTCTCAAAGTGCTCACTTCGTCCTTTGGGGGGGGTGCAACCCCTCAAAGACCACATATCGCCTTCTACTCAGGTTACTCAGTTTCTCTGCCCACAGTACCTCCACCTTCTCTTGACAAAGCCTCAGCTCGATTGCCCTCATCCATCCCAGGACAACCTGGAGATACTCATTCAGGCATTTTTCAGACTTCCTAAGATTATCTGATGGAAGTGAGAGGCAGAGCTGTGAATCATCTGCTTACTGACGGCACTTCATCCCAAACCTCTGAATTACTTGCCACAGTGGTTTCATGGCAATGTTGACAACAAAGGGGACAAGATGGAGCCTTGCAACACTTGACAGGCCAGTGGCCACTGGGTGCAGCAGAAGTCCCCCAGCACCACCTCCTGGACCTGTTCATCCAGAAAAGCCTGACACCACCAGAGCATAGCACTGACTTCAGGTACGTGATCCAGATAGTACTGAAAGCTGCTTGAGAGCTCCAGGAGAACCCACAGGATTGCTCTCCCTTCCTCTGTTCCCCACAGTAAGTCATCTACCAAGATGACCAAACTATCTTCATCCCCAAACTGGGCTTTGAGTCAAACTGGAATGGATCCAACTGGATCCAAGTGTTGTCCATCACTACTAGAAGTTACCACTTCAAGCAGTTTGTCCATTATCTTCAGGCTGTACAAGCTGTACGTTGCTCATGATAACATGACTAGACAGCACTCTGGTCACATCCAGCTCTGGCTTGGTTAAAACAATAGCATCTAAAACTGTATGGATACAAGTGACTTTGCCTGTAAGACGTCCCATGCTGATCACAGGTTTTTGAGGACTCAAGTGCTTTTCAGAGCCTATTCAGAGAAGGCTTTTCAGTACACTTGCAGAGAAATGCGGTCTTTTCTGCCATCCTCACTGCTATAGATAAGGATTTAAGATGGGTTGTTTCTTAAATGTGCTTGGTCATACTTACTATGTGTATTTTCCCATTTGTGCTCTAGTTACTGGCCCTGGCATATCATTGAGCTCAGCTGCTCCACCATTCAGAAGTGACCCTACTCAGAGTGTGGGTCATCCTCTTATTGCAAGTGGAGACCAGAACCTCAGCAGAACTACTAGCTAAGCTTGTAGGAAGATCCCCAGGAGACCTCAGAAAACCATTCAGATTCATCAGTATCCTGGGTCAGACCATCAAATTCAATCTGACACTACTGTGTCAAAAAGTCAGAAACTGATCACATAGTAATCTGTCTATGCCAAAGGAGTCCTTTATGTCCCGCCCCACTCCAAGATATGTCCTGTCATATGTGGCGGGTCAAGTATTAACTGGGTCAGGCCCACAGTTGATGTGGAGGCCAGAAAATCCTGAGTCACCTCTGTCAAGGTGACCTTGGCTTAAATGTTAAAATCTCCCAAGAAAGCTTTTGAGGGACATGTCATTTATTCACATAATACATATTTGGTGGCCATACAAGCTGATATGAACGGAATGAAAACAACAGAGTGATGTTGGATTGTATCTGAAGACATGTAAGGCAATACTAGATCTAAAAGTCTACATGGCACTACAACAAGAAATAACTTGCCAGACATTGCTGGCTATTGCAGCTGGCTCTTGTGTTGTAAGAATTAATGAACAAAGACTTACGTGCTGAACATTCTCCTGAAGAAGGTCCCCCAGGATCTCCACCAAGTCAGAGAATGTTGGTCTCTCCTTGGGATCACCATACCAGCAGCTCAGCATTATACGGTAACTGCAGAAAACAACATATGTTTTTGCATGGAGCTATCAACTTCTTCACCCTTAACTATCAATGTCTGGGAATTCCTTAAGGTAGGTGCTGTACTGAAGCGCCAGCAGACTTACCACAGCAGCAAATGAAACATTTGAACTCTGCAGCATTTAATGCCTTTCATACACCAGCAAAAGTGGAGAGGAGGGAAGACGTACAGACATATGGACCCTCTTCTGGATCTCCATTTTGCTGAGCTATGGTATTTTCAAGGTTGGCTATGTTTTCAAGTATTTTGACTCACATTTCTGCAGTGGCATACTCTGGAGCTCTCATCCTGGTGCCATCTTTCAGTCTCTGGCAAAATTCCTCATTGATTTGGACTCCAGGGTATGGGGAGGCACCTGAAGAAGATAATCCATAGCTTTATTAGGCAATAGTCTGGAGGGAGGAGGGCCAGCAACGAAAGAAGCTTCTGCAAGGAACCCCCATCTGCCTTCAACACTCCGAAAACATGTACAGCAACTTGTTTTCATTCGTTTGATCCTCTTTCTTCAGGATCCTCTTTGATTCTCAAGTAGCTATTTAGAGAGGGCTAGAATGCAAGGACTGGAGTCCAAGGTGGTGTTCAATAACTAGTCAAGATCAGTTATCTACAAAACAGATGGCATGCCTAGTAAGGAAAGGCTAACAAAATTCCACTGCTTACAGAAATATTCACCCACTTTGACTTTTCTACATTTTTGTCCTGAAGCCTGGAACAGAAAAGGATTTAGCTGGCCTTGTTACCACATGATATTCGCAAGATACTCAACACTATGAAGGTGACACAAAAGTTAAGTAAACCAAACCAACTGGCACTTGTTAGCCCTCCAAGTCAATACTTAGTAGAAGTACTGTTGGCAGCAATTCCAGCTTGAGTCTTCCTGGCTAAGCCTTTATCAGCTTTGCACATCTGGATACTGCCCACTCTTGGCAAAATTGCTCTGTCTGTTTGGATGGGGACCACAGGGGAATAGCAACTTTCAGTCTTGCCACAGATTTTCAATAGGATTGAAATTTAGGCTTTGATTGGGTTCAGGTTCTTGTCTTTAAACCACTCCAGCATTACTTTGGCTGTGTGTTTAGGGTCATTGTCCCACTGGAACATGAACCTCTGCCGCAGTACCAGGTCCTTTGCATGAAACATGTTTTCTTCTAGATGTGCCCTGTGTTTGTCTCCATCCAACCTGCCCCTAGTCCTGACCAATTTCACAGTCCCTGCCAAGGAAAAGCATCCCCACAACATGACATTATGGTGCTGCTGTCACCATGCTTCACTGCGGGAATGCTCTTCTCTGGGCAATGAACAATGAATACCGTTGACTCTAGCATGACCCGCTTTTTGCAGCAAGGTCACAAAGTTCAGTTGTGGTCTCATCCGACCAGAGAACCTTTCCCCATATGTTTGCTGTGTTTCCCATCCTGCAAACTGCAAATGGGCTTTGATATGGTTTTGTTTTAGCAGTGCTTTTCCCCTCACTTTTCTTCCATAAAACCCAGGTTTGTGGAGTGCCTGGATGACAGCTGTCCCCTTTCCCCCATTTCAACTGCTGATCTCTCCAGCTTCCTTAGAGTTACTATTGATGTCTCGGTTGCTTTTCTGAAAAATGCCTTCCCTACCCAATCACCGAGTTTTGGTGCATGGCCTTCTCCAAGTAGAGATGCGGTCGAGCCATATTCTTTCCCTTCTGTAATAATGGATTTAGTGGTGCTCTGGGGGTTGTGCACAGTTTGGGATTTTTTTTTGTTTTATAGCTGAACCCTGATGGTGCTGCTGCAGAACATTTTTCCTGAGTTGTTTTGACAGTTCCTTAGTCTTCATGATGCTGTTTGTTTAGATACGCTTTCTAATAAACTCCAGGGCTTTCCAGAAACAGGGATTAATCTGAGATCACATGGCACAGGATTTGCACACCATTATCCACATCCAAATATCCATTCAACTACTTCTAGTTCTCTGGAGGCAGTGGGGTGCGCCAGAGGTTCTTTAGGTAGGTCACAGCAAAGGAAGTGCTTATGTGCCAGTTTATTTTTGCTTGTTTAATTTTTGTGCTCTAATATTTTGCATTTGCAGCACTGGGTATCTTGTGTACATCAAGTGCAACAACACCAATGAAATCCATCTCAATTCAAGGTTGTAACACAACACAATGTGGAAAAGTCAAAGAATGGGTGAATTCTTTTGCAAGAAACTGTACTTCTGTTCAAGGCAACAAAGTCAAATGGTGTGTGTGAGTACTGCAAAAGGCTCTGTAAAAGCTAGTGAATTTGAAGCAGGAGATGGCTGGTGTATGCGTGGAGGCCAGGAAAATTGTGTGGCTCAGACCCAACAGCAAACTTTGTAATATGTAACTCAGGAGGACCCCAGTGTCCCATGCAGCAAGTTTGTTGTTGTTTTTATTATCATTACATTGCGCTTATTCCTCATCTTTCTCCTTCTCTCAAGGAACCTAATGCAGCTAATAAGACTCTCCTCTCCATTTAATTAGACTGCGAGTGGTCTATAGTAATCCAGTTAGCTTCTGGGTTGAGTGGGGACTAAAATCTCCCAAGTCCCAGTCCAAAACTCTAACCACTGAGATATTTGGGTGTGAAATATAAGGGTGGGAGGAAGCAAGGCAGATTTAGAGAGCCTTTTCAGCAACCTGCCTTCAAAATCCAATGCTGATAAAAGTAGGGGTGGTTCAGTGGAGTGTTCAGCTCACCTAGAGAGAAGATTTCCCAAAGGAGGACTCCAAATGACCACACATCACTCTGGGTGGTGTAAACTTTGTCAAAGATGCTTTCTGGGGCCATCCACTTTAGTGGGAGGCGGGCCTGTAGGAACAAAGCAGACATGTTTGGTGGATAAAGTCCTGAAAAAGGTTAACAGCAACTGAAGAAGGCAAGCACAGGAATGCTTCCCAATATCCTAGCATGACACAGACAGTCAGGCAGCAAATCAAGTGAACGAGTACTATATTCCAACAACACTGGAAACCGCTGTTTGGTGTTACTGATTGATGTGAATGCTTTTTATTTATTTACTTATTTCTGAATTTGTATGCCGCCCACTAATCAAGTGGGTTCTCTTGTGCTCACACATTCATCCAAATGGCTCATCCAAACTATTTCTGCAATAAATGGCAAGCAGTAAGATATAAAGCTTGGAAATATACAACATCCATCTTGGAATGAACACAGCTGAACCTCTGAGTTCAAAATACTCAGATTATCAGAAATCTGAAAATAAGTTATACTTTGTTGTGGCAAAATGACCAGAATTTCAAGACAGAGGGTTTTTTGGAGGCAGGTTCAACACCTTTTCTTGATGGTTCCCTTCCCTCCTGCAACTTCCCCCACCTGTTGCTTTCCTTAAATCTTTTCCAGATCAGGTGGGGGGAGGCTATAGGGAGAGCAAGGGGAAGTGCCTTTACACAAGCAGAAGTCTGCTCACTCATTGCTGAATTTAACACAGTATGTCTATTAAGGTAGCAAGGGATGATTGTGAGAAAATGGATGTAGGTGTTGGTTCAGTTAAGGACTGCAGGTAAGTGCTGCCAAACACTGGAAGCACGATGGTCCTTCAGGTTAGCAACATGTGATGATTATTGCAGCTGATGGGTGAAAGCAGGAAGGTGTATGCTACAGATACTTATTCTGAACAAAATGTATTTTTTGCACCAGGCTATTGCCTTAGACAAAGCTTCTTGACCTTTTTATTTCTCTGTTTCATTCCTCTGTATGTCTGCTCTGAGAATAGTCTACACACTTTTCCTCTGTGTTGCAATGACTACCAGTCACAAACAAATCTGTGACACAGAGGCTCACTGCAGGCCTGTAAAACCTATTCTGCTTCACCCATCCCCAGAATCCAGTACTCACACTGCCCTTCCTGACATAGTCAGGATCTTTGTAGATATCCCGGGCCAAACCAAAGTCACAGATCTTCACCACGTTGTTTTCCGATAGTAAGATGTTGCGAGCTGCCAAATCTCTATGGATGCACTAAAGAGAAATGAAAGTGGTTGGGAGAAACATCAAAAAGATGGATTCCGATGAAGGAAGAATGAATCAGAAAAGTGGAAAAAGTGTAGAAGACTCCTTCAGGCCGTTAGAATCTGTCTGTTCTAAATAGTAATTATAGCTAACAGCCACTGATGGATTCTTCCATGAATTCATCCAGTCCTCTATTGAAGCCATCACCACATCTTGTGGCAGAAATTTCCATTAATTAATCATGCACTGTCTCTTGCATTTGCTTTTGACTATCCCAAAGCTACTGCCGACCAATTTTATTGAATGACCTCCAGTTCTGGTTTGAGAGAGGGAGAAAAACCTCTCCACATGGTGCATAATTTTATACTCCTTTATCATCTCTCTGCCATGGCTGTTGACAGCAAAAGCATACTTAAATAAATAAAAGGAGTATTCACCTTTCTGGAAGCGAGAAACTCCATGCCACGGGCCACTTGGAAACTGTAGCAAATCAGGTCTTCCATTGTCAGTGGGCTTTGCCACAAATCATCCACTGTACAAATGTGCAAGAAAGGAGGTAATAAACTGAAGGTTACAAGCAGAGGAAAAAAAGTGAATTTCTGAAGATAACAGACTATATTAATGCAAATTTACTTGAGAATATCCCAGGGAAAGCTTAGATTTACTGGCAACATATAGTGTGATCTAGTTGATTAATGAGGATCAACAGGCACAATCTAGTTCAAGAGAACTTAGTGGGACCAGAGCTGCAATGACAGAAACCATCAGTATTTATCATGTATGTTGCTGGAAGCACACTTTGATTTTGACAAGTGATCAGATCCCTTTGTGCTATAACTTGTCTCTACCTAGAGGGGAAGTGGTGCTTGACACCTGCCAAGAGTTACACATTTAATTGTGAAAGACACAACAAACAGATGTTAGGCCTGCAGAAAGGAATAAAGATGGGTTATTATGTCCCTCAGTGGGGCTTCTACATCTTTTTTCTGATGAAGTAAATTATATTCCAGTATCAGACAAACAGGGAAACTGACTGTCTACCTCCAAGAAAATAATTTTGTCTCTCTTTTTGCCAAGGCACTGACAAAGTCATTGCAGGATGTTGGCCTTTGTAGCTGGTTGATCTTAACTTGAACAGTAACCAATTGTGGAAAGTTTGATGTAGTCCTGGTGTGAAGAGCAACTGCCTACTAGTAAAGGATGGAGATAGATCATATTATTGCAAAGGGATTTTTTGGACTCAAAACATTAGAGAATCAGACAGAGAAAGGTCCAAAAGTCATGCCTGTATTTATTAATGGACACCAAAGTGCATACATTTTGAATGATTTTCACCCGGCTTGTTATTCTGTACATAGATTATAATACTAATTTATGCTTGTGCACTTCTCTGAGGTATATGACTGTAAACCCCATGGTATAAAGCTTATAATAAAAATTCCCATGAAACTTCCTACATAGGAAATACTTTCCCTCATTTTCAGGTTGCTGGCACACAATAGACTATTCGGTGGCACAGTCCATAGAAGAGGCCTTGATGTTTCCATGAGAGGATCCCAGCCCTTTCTTGACTTTGCCCCATTCTATGCAACCTGTTTTGCCTGAATAAGGAGGCAGAATGCTGGCTCACCCTTTCCACTTCTCAGTAACCACCATGTAAGCTGCTGTTCCAGATATACTTCCTTTCACTTTTCATACTGCTAAGGGTCATCAACCCAGGCCCAAGGCTTTACAAATGTGGCTATATTCACTTTGGTTCCTTGAGGTTCTCCCACTTGGCATGTAAAGTGTGCTGTATCTCCACAGTGCCTTGCTTTCTCTCCTTTTCTTCTGCCTCCAAGTCCAGGATGAAAGGAAATGCCATCCACTCATTCACTGGCCTGAACTAGTTTTAGAAATACTTGGAGTCCCACTAATGCAACATTAAAGAAATCCTGTACAATTTAATTCAGTCCAAGTTCCCTGAATTTTCAATACCACCATCAAAATTCAATGAGTTAATACGTTAAGGGTGCTTCCAGGCAAGGCTTTTATCATTCTGTTGCCCCTTCTCAATCACAACATTTGGGGATAGGGGAAAGCAAGGCAGACAATATCATCTTTCACTTACAACTCTCCTGTATATCCCTACTGCTTCACCCATCTTTTCTCTTATCACAGAAAATCTGCTCATAAAGAGAAGATGGAATAGCTGCACTGTGCCTTCTGGTTGGTAGTGCTAGGAGCTCTCCATCTGGAAGCAACCAAAAGAGGAAGAAATGGGTAGTTACAGTTCTTTACCCTCTTGTATAAGAGGCGGCGGCGGCGGCGCTGTTTGGCTCTTGTTCATCAGGAGTCTATTAAGAATTGCACTGTCACTGGTACAAGACCGGCTCCTCCTGTCTGCTCTGACAGCTTCCACGATGGAACGGACTTGGATGCGCAATCTTGGGGATTTTTCCTAGGAAGCAGGCCAGACCACAAAGGTTAGCATGAGGCAGACTAGCTGCTGCAGTGGATCAGGCACTGTGAACATGCCTTAGTTCAGCTTAAGCAGTGTGGAAAATCTAACTCTGGCTAGTAGAAGGAAATTCAGCAACTGATGCGGCCTGGAAGCAGCACCAGAATGCAGATCTGCCAAAGAGCTGTGAACCGGGTGTGAATGTAATGAGAGCCCTGCTGTACTGTAATAACGATCCATCTGTTCCAGCATCCTGCTTCCCGCAGCGTCCAGCCAGGTACTTTTGGGAAGCCCACAGGCAGGACATGAGGGCAATGTCCTTTATGCAGTATTGTTTCCTGGCCACTGATATCAAAGGCCCTCTGCTGCAGGACCTGATGGGGACAGACCTACTCTGCTTTCTCTGCCTCTGCCTTTTGCTTTCAATCCACAATCGCTCCTGCTTTTTCCCTGCTTCCCCCTGGCTGGGGGAAGTGACAGCATGCTTCTAAGGACTGCTTCCCTGCTTCAAATTGCCTCCTCCTCCACTGTATAGAAGAACCGCTCTTAAGGTACACATCATGTCCCCATCTCATCCTGTTAGGTGCTCATCTGGCTTCTTTACACACCAAGTCACAGCGCCAGTAGTATAAGCAGAGGATTGACTTTTTGATGGTCAAGTTGAGTCTGATCTGAACTAAATCCATCACGGCCTTCTGGTTGTTGTTATTATCCCATCTGCCCTATCCAAGGAAAGCAGTGTTAGGAATATTACCAAAGTAAGTCTCATACCCTGTAAGGGCTGAATCCTTCCCGTTTGGTCCGCAAGTAATTGGAGAGGTTTCCATATTTACAGAATTCAACAATAACCATGAGGGGACCTGCAGAAGGGAGGCCAAGAAGAAAGAAGGAGTTCTACAGACCAGGAAACGCCTTGACTTCCACACTGTACAATCTTCATGACACAGACACACTACCAGCAACTGTTCCATGTGTGACAGTAGAGGAGAGTCCATGGTTAATCAGATACCAGAGTTTCTTTTGCACCCCCAAGTTGCCATCCAAGCTGGCCAAGCATATTTACCATTAGGTTTGGTGCAGGCGCCCAGCAGATTAACCACATTCAGGTGGTTTCCAATGTGGATGAGGATCTTCAGCTCTGACATGAGAGCCTTGTGTTCACTTGCAGTAGCTCCCTCTGAAAGCAATGTCACAACGGTCACTTAATGACTATTTCTCACCTCATAGCCAGCCGTATCCACATTAGTCCCCCAAACCATTGAAGTGACGATGATAGCTATTTATTCATTTATTACATTTATTTCCTGCTCCCCCTCCCCCACTTTGTCCTGCTTTTTTCTTTCACAGAATCCAAGGCAACTCATGGAGCCCTGCTCTTCTCCACTGTATCCTCACAAGAACCCTGTGAGGTAGGCAAGGCTGGCTCACAGTCACCCAGTGAGCTTCAGGGCTGAATGGGGACTTGAATCCAGGACCCAGTCCTGCACTCTGGCCACTCCAAGGGTTTCTTCTCTTTCTTCCTTACACTAAATGATTAACAGCTTGCATTTCAAACAAGCAGGCAACTAAACAAAAACCAGACATGCTGTTGCAAAGGCAGAGCTTAACATGATCCACAATAAATGAAAGATTTTGGTCCTCGCTCAACATCCTGTCTTCTAAGACAGGAGAGGTTGGCTTTTGCAACACCACAGCACTGACAAGTTCTCTAAACAGTAACTGCATGCCTAAAAAAATTACATGGATCTCACGCCAGCATAACAGAACCTTCTCCTTCCAACATTTGCCTCCTGCAGAACAAGTTCAGTCACATTTACTCAGGAGGAAACCCTCACTGAACACTACAGGTGGAATAATGGTACCAGGTGACTACTCTGCCCACCTTCCTTTGCATCACTGAAGGCTACCTGGGATTCTGACTGCAAATGTTTCTGCTTGGTTAGAATTGCAAGGGAGTTCAATTTGCCTGACTGTGGTTGAAGCAGATGGGATCAGAGCTTCCTGCTGGATTACAACCCAGAGATTTTGATAAAAAGCATACGGAATACCCAAAGGTTTGCTTGAACAGCTGCTGTACAAAGGTTGACACCTGGAGAACTTGCGTAGCAACATGATAGATGTCCACTGAGATAACTGCTCCATTGTTGCTCCATTAGAATATGTCACTCACTACTGTGTTCTCATTGTCATTATCTGTATGATCCTGGCTATTGGGATTTGTAACATTTTGCAGTTTCCTCTACTATTTTCTGCTTTCTTTGCTTGGGCTTGCAACAGCAATAGGAATGCATTATGAAAAACTACTTGTCTATAAGGAATATAACTAAAGTATTTAAAGGGGGGGGTCATTTTATTTATTTTTAAACTGAGGTTTATTTTGAAAATCCAATTATCAGCCAAGTTAGTCAGACATGCGTAGGTTTTAAAAAATAATAATTATACAACCAAATGTGGTCTGTTGGTTTTAATAGAAGTTATACACATGTTTCAATCTCAGAACTTAGTAAGGCTTTGCATGAACATGCATTTAATTAAAGAATTAATTTACAAATAGAAGCTCCATTTCCATGTTCTTCACCAGTGGTAACATATGGATAAAATGCTAAAAGATGGTTTCGCAAATGAACACAAGCCTAAACTTCTCCAAGCTCATGGCTCCCACTTCCTCTTGTTACTGCCTGCATAGTTGAGATAAGACATTTAGAATTGTTCATTTCCATTGCCAAGTCATATGAATTGGAATTGCAGTTATTCTTTATAGTGGGTAGTGGTTTAAAGCTGGTTTGCTTGAAGCTAACCATAGATTAACCACAGATTGCCCAGTTCAGATGGCATGGCAAGCTGTGGCAAATCAAAGCAGACATGAAAGTTCCTGAGCAATCCTTGGGGCACTGTTACAAGAAGAGAGGAAAATGGGGAACTTGTAAGCCCACAGGGAGGCTTGCTGAAATGTGGTTTCAAGTGGCATTTAAAGGCATGAAGAAACTAAAAACATGGTCTCACTAACAGCAACTGTTAACCATTAAAGTGCACATTAAAAAGAGTTTAAAAATTGCACAATACTCTGAATGCAGAATCTTTCATTTTGTTTGCTGGAGCAAGCTAACAGGACTGACCCTCAAGAATAAAAGTTTAAGAAGATGATTACAATACAATACAGGTATTAAGCTTATTTTGCTCACTGCTGTTAATTTTCTTGAGCCATGGTAGTTATGAAGTCATAGGATAAGGCAGCACAGATCAGTCAAGCAGAGGAGAGCAGTTGCTCCTATCCTATGTACCAGTACAGAAACCCAATCTTAGCCAAAGTGCCAAAGACACAGCTGCCCCCGGTTCTTTCATATCCTTCCTAACTTACAGCTGTCCCATGCAAGGGGCTGAATGGGGTGAACCCGGGCAGAGGTAGGGATAGAGGAAGTGTCCAGGATGCCTGGCAGTTTTGGGGATAGGGTTCAGCAGCATGGATAGCTCCTTTACAGTTCAGACTAAAATCCCGAGTAGAGATACCACCCATGCCATGCATTTTAAAGGACTCTTGATCACGTTGGGCCATAGAGAAGGAGAGTCAAGTAAAGACTCAGTTTTAGCTGAGCCAGTCACAGACTCCCAGCCTGACCTAACTTACAGAGTTGCTGTTGGGGGAATAAACTGGAAGCCATCTGGGGTTCTTCACAAGGGCAAAAAGGTTGGGATACAAATGCAGTGTAATATAATAAGAATAACTGTAATATAACAAACTATGGTTTGCAGTGTATTAGCTCATTCAAGCTTAAGAATAAAATTGCCCATTTCATATTAAAAGCTTGGCTAATGTGTACATTGGCTTTGTTGCCACAATTTTGTTTTATGATATCCATTCTAAAGGAAGTAGCACATCAGGGAGGAAGGCTGGGTTCCTGTCCTCAGTGCTGGTTTTCCCTTTGCCGGGCATTTTTAACACAGGGCAGCACTAGAAGGTGCACTCAGCTTCCCGCAGTCCAGCACAGCACACTGCAGCATTTTACTGCCTCACTCTGCCCATGTGAGGAACATGCCTGATGGATAACGGTAAGCAGAAAAAATGGCTCATTCCTTGGAACTGCAACCGCTTCTCTATAGTTTTAACAGGCTTTCTGGCATTTTGGAAAGAGAATGATTATGAATGCAGATTTCCATTACCAATACTAAGTCCAGGACTCTGATTCTATTTTAATAGCCATTATGAAATTTCAAGACTTTTGAAATAAGCAGAAAAAGGAGTATTTCCTATATTCTCCCTGCCCTAATTGGTGCTGATGCTAACTTTAGAAGAATCCCAGAATTGAATTAAAATAAGCAGAGATTTAAAAGCTGCAGTTTAATATGTTACATTGATTAGGTATGCCTGTTATTAATTGTATGTGCCTTCAACCATTTTATTAAACAATATTCTCCCGGGCTATCAACGTTCTAGTATACTGACAAAGGCTGAAAGCATTGATCAGCATTATTAACAGCCAAAGCTAGCCTTAGGCGTCTTTGTACTGTGAGCAAAATATCAAAATCTTGTCCTACTCCTCCATCCCCACCCCTGCGTTCCTTGGCACTACCTTGTACGGCTAAAGACGGCTTCCCTTTTTTCCTGAGGTCTAATTAGGCACCCCTGCTCACTTCATTTTCTCCCATTTGTAAGCCCCTCAGTAAGTGCTGGGCCCACAAACATTCGTTCACACCTCTCACTTCCTCTCTGTATTCTTCCTTACTCCCCACTTCTAAATTGCCTTGCTTCCTTATTAAACAGAGGGGTGAAAACTGTGTAAAATCTCCCTTTGGCTTTTGCTGTCCTTCAGGTACTCATCCCAGGAGTTTGGCATCCCACAAAAGCCTTCCTGTTCCACCTTGCCTGGACAGCCTTTAGGGAGACACCATGCATGATGTCTCGAAGCGGCACTGAAAAGAAAAGTCCTTCCCTCATGTTCGGCAGGAATTGCTGCCATCTGTAAAATGTAGCTCTGAGGCAAACAGATGCATCTAAATTTAGTGCAGGCCCTGCTAACAGATCAGTCAATCCAATTAAAAATGAAAAAGTCAATATGCAAAGAAAAACTATAGGCTTTCCATAGAATTTTAATTAGCAGAATCCTCTGTGGTGGTACCCTCATTTCTGATTTTCTAAACCATTTGCCTAACTGCCTTGATTCAGGAAAAATTGGAGGATAATATTCCAATCAGATTTTCTACAAATTAAACTGTAGAACACAGTTTAAAAGTGAAGCCAGTGGTGGGTCAAGCTTGGCCTGCCCTGCTTTTACTGGCCCCACCTCCTAGCAGGCTCAGAAAAAGGGGGCCATTTACTTAGCAGCAACTTACCCTGGCATCAGGTAACTATCTAGGAAGCACTCGTCTGTATCATCCAGGTAATGAGGAAGATTTTTATCACTCTTCTGTGGAAGCGGAAGACCGCAAAGCTCTTTTCACCTCTTGTTTTTATTCAGACAAGCAGCCACCTTGCAGGGTGATCCCATTCATACCAGAGCAAGCTATTGCCTGGTAAACGGCTGTTCCTGCTCATTTGTTGTGGGGAATCAGGCTATGCTTGGAAGGAACGGCTGATACTGCTGCCTGCCCTGACACTCAGGGGCTGGATTCTTCCCTACCTCGACATAACATTTAAAGACTTGGAGGGCCAGGCTCTGTCTTATATAGTGAAACTTACCTTCAATGAAAACTCTCAAAATATTGAATTATCATTGAATTGCCATAGTCTCTATTTCAAACTATTCATTCCATCCCATTAAATAATGAAGCTGAAGAGCCAGCTCCAAAGCAGTTGATAGCTATGTGAGAAATAAAACACTGTTTAGAATACCTTCCCCAACTTGCTGCCCTCCAGGTGTGTGGGACACGGCCACTGGAGTTACAGGAATTGCACACCAACGCATCTGGAGGGCACCATGTTAGAGAAGGCTGGTTCAGTAGATACTGGCAAGATGAACAGAGTCAAAAGTCCTTTTTAATTGTTTTTATAGATATCTATTTTATTGTGTTTTAATTGGTTTTTAATGTGTTTTTACTGTCAGTATGTTTTACATTGTAAGCTGCCTAGGAAGGTCTTGGCAATTATAGGTGGCCTATAAATATACATAAAAAAAAGTCAAGAAACAGTGTACAGAAAAGAAGATAATTTAATCCCTGTTGACATCAATGAAGAAATATTAGGTGTGTGGAAACTCCTAGTATAAGGAGAGAGAGCATTCAGGAGATGAGGAGGGATTTGTTTAAATGATGAGAAGGTTGTCCTCCAGATACAAACATTAACTGGATTGATGTTTCCAGACAGGTAATTAACACTCAGATGTTTACAAAAGCCATTTATCTTGCCTACCTTTGAGCATCTTAACTGCTACCGTCTCACAGCTGTTACTCTTATTAATTCCAAATGCGGAGGCTTCCATCACTTTTCCAAAGGCTCCATGGCCCAGGACTTTACCTGGAAAAGAAGCCAGGAACAGGGTAAAAAAGTAATAGCTCCAATGGCAAAAGCAGAGTAAAAAAAGGGCCAGGGTGCAATACGAGAAACTCACTTTATATGACTATTCAAAGAACTCACAAAACAGTAACTTGAATGGGACCAAAACAAAACAGGAAACTGAGGGAAAAAACAAGAAAAGGTGTGAAAAAGGAAGAGGAAGGAATGGCTTTTTCACCATCTCCAGGTGGCTGCATTTGCAGAGGAAGGGCCAGGAAAGAAGGAAATGAGGCAGACTCAGTGTCGACAAAACAGCGGAAGGAAACAGCTAGCTAAAGTGAGGTGCCATTATGGCCCTTGAGTGGAGCGCGTGGGAAAGGTGAGGGAATCTCCTTGGACTAGGCTGGAAAAGGATGAACGTGCCATGACTGTTCTGCCCACTGCCGCTCGACATTTTGGCAGTCTCGTGGTTGCTGCATGCTCAGACTCCTCTGGAACCTGAGGGGTGTTTTGTCAGGACAGGGAAAACACTGCATCCTGAGACTGACTGGGCAACTGTTTGTGCAAGTGTATTTTGCAGTGCAGACTGGCTGTCTGAAATGGCAATCCGAATGACAAGGGTAAACTGGAAAAGAAGAAAACGTATCCCTTACTCATTAGCAAACCATATGCCTCACTGTACCTAGTCGAAGTCGTTCCCGGGGGAATTCCCATTTGCTGGAGTCGTATGGCAGATACTCGCATTGCTCCTCCAAAGGAACTTCACCTGGGTCCATGATAATGGAAAGGTAGCCAGTTTTAATATCAGCATGTGCAGGCTGCAGGGGAGGAGAGAAAGAAACCTAATCCATCTCTGTAGTTTTGCAATGGAAATACGTTGCTGTGCAGTTCTCCCGACACGAATCTTAATACTGGGCTTTGCTTGACAGAGCAAGAAGATTATGTCCCATCCCAGCAGAAATGGGACAACTTTTGAGAGAAAGAGACAGAGAGATGTCAACTTTTGAGAGACAAGAGACAGCATATATTCCACCCTCTCCAGTTTTCTCTTGATTAGTTCCTGAGGGCAAATGACATAAGGAATCTGATTAGCTAGGCACGACTGGTTTTCCTTTTACCAGCTGTACAATTCCAGCTGTACTCAACTGCATTTACTAATGCCATGTTTTGGTTATGCCGAAAACTAGGTACCTCAAGGGGCACAAACAGATCAGAATGGAATGTTAAGGGGGCTGTGCTGTGGGGGCATAATTTGTTCATGAGGCTGTTTGCTGTTCCCCAGATCAGTCTCTGAAAGAAGCCAGGATGAACAAGGACTTACCCTCTTAATGTTACAGAAGATGAGGATCAAGAGAATCCAGAAGAAGATGGCAATGACACCTGTCCCAATTAAAATCACAATCTCCACATTGGTCCTGTCATCTGAGCCTATGGGTCAGGAACAGCAATGGTAGAATTAGCTGTAGATGACATCTTAAAATAGGCACAGAACAAATCCAAAGACACATCAAGAGAAAGAACTACAGAAAGGTGGCTCAGAATATTTTAGATTTCCCTAAGGTTAGGCCATTTATAGGAAAGCATTATTTTGTGTTTGAGTAAGGAGGAAGACGTTGCCTTAACAGGATGAAGAGATGCTCTTTTGGATGTGCCCTTTCTTTCTTCTCTGTCTGTCTTCTTTGCAAAGGCGTTTCCCTCTACTTAGGTTTAAAGGTCGAACTGAGTAACAGTACCTTCTACAGAGACACTGGCAGAAGAGTTCACACAGCCCTTGGCATTGCAGACACTACACAGGTAAAGGCCAGCATCCTCTTCTCTCACCCTTTGGATACTCAGCCTCTGATTGGAATCTGCCAGGTCAATCCCTGAAACACAAAGAAGGAATCTTCAATTGTGAACTAGCAGTGCTGAGAAGATATGTAGATTCTCATGCTATGGCCTGACAGGGAAGCTTTCTAGAATGCAAAAGCCTGAACTGGAATGAAAACCTTGCTGTCATGTGAGCGATATCAGCCCCTTTTTACCATCCATCATCTCACCATTGCTGTCGGCATTTGGGCCCTGTCAGGGAGACATGCCTGACTTCCAGACATAAAATTATTATTTGTGAAGGCAGGTACACCCAACTGCAGCACAAGAAGACAGAACCCACATGGAAGACAATATGTCAGCATCAAACTAAAAGAAGCATGCATGGAATAAATTACAGAATGTGGCTTCTAATGCAGAATATTCTAATTACTCCTGGAAAGTCTGAATTCACAGTTTTCTTCTGGGTTATTAAAAGCAAGGTTCCAGTCTTTGCTGCTACAGATAAAAAGTTTCACAGCCAGAGGAAGCTTGAAAACATTTCCAGTGGGACACTTGAACTAATCTCACAGATTTTTGCTTAATGGAATAAATCTTTCTAAAGACATCTTCTGGTATGCCCTGGTTTGCCGCTGCAGGTTCCCAAAATGAAAATTATCCAAAGGAGCCAAAATATCCAAAATGATCCAGGGGGGTGAGGGGACAGTGTATGCCAACAGAGATTTTCCTGTAACTCTTGATCCTGGAACTGATGAGGCAAATTGTGTAATCCTAAAAGTATGCTGCCATACCACTCTAAGAACTTCAGTGGTGAAAACAACAGAAACCTCAAGCATTGACTATGGTTCCTTTACATACATGGAAATGGCTCCTTTGGATTGTTGCCCATCAGAAGTATTAACTTTTGTGGAGAAAAGGGAATTCCAGAAAATTGCAGAAGTGAAGTTGGGGTTGCCTCCTTGTCATTTAGAAGCATCTCCACAAACTTTACACCCTTCAGTAAGTTCATGCTGCAGTTGCCCATTATATCATTACAATAAACTTGCAAATGATAGGCGGAGAGACCACGATTGATCTAAAATCTTCCAAAGAATTTGATGGCTGCATAGGGACATCTGAATTCAGTTCTTCCTTGTACAAGCCTAATGTTCTGCTTATGACACCACACTGGTTACACCAATGCGCCATAGCCCTTTGTTTCCTATTGAACCATACACATCCACACACCATCACTTGCACACACTCTCCAGTCCAGACTGGAAGCTTCAGAGCTTGTACAATTTATGTCCCACATCTTCCCACACAAAGATCTCTTCAATCCATCATACCTGAGACCTCTTCTACAAGTTTCTCATCCTTGTACCAATTGATGTTTGGAATATATGTGCCATCCACTTTGCAGCGCATCTCTATGGAATCGCTCACATTCACCAAGATGTTTGACAGGTTCTGCTTCAACCTGGGGACTTCAAGAGCTAAAGGAATAACATTGAGAAAACAATTTGGTAGGCGACTAAAAGAAAAAGCCATTTCTTGAGTTCCAGAATGTGATATTGGCTCCCATAAAACAAAACAAAACAAAATGACAAAAGAAACCTAGCCTGCTTCCAGACAGTTGATTCCTAGTGCTGCCAATAAGACTTTGTACAGTTGTTCCATTTTTATTTCCTTAATGGCTTTTCTGTATTAAAAAGATGGGGAAAGTGATGGGACAATGTTATTTGGACCTCCCATGTAAACATTCATAAAGGAGGCAAGGCAATGGATAAACTCCTTGTTTATCCTTTATAAAACTCCTTGTCTAGAAGCACTCCAGGTAGAAGTGGCCTAATGTGATAAAGATCTTAGTTTTCCCTCTCAAAGTCAATGTAAATATTACATTCCCAAATGCTTCACAGTAGTTAAGCTACTAGGAATTGTCTACAGTGAGACAGCTGTGTACTCACTCCATTCCCTTGTCCCTGCTGAAAGTGTGAATTTTCTTTGCCAAGGCTAATTGTTAGCAGCACTAACATGAACAATAGTTAGAATTAAGCAGGAGTCTCCCTTTATATTAGAACCTGTAATCCATTTCGAACTATGATCTTGGATTGTGCAGGAACTTTGTTGCTCTTAGTCGCGAAGTCGTGTCCGACCCATCGCGATCCCATGGACAACACTCCTCCAGGCCTTCCTGTCCTCCACCATCTCCCAGAGTCCACCTAGCTTACACCAACTGCCTCAGTGACTCCATCTAGCCACCTCATCCTCTGCCATCCCCTTCTTCTTTTGCCATCTATTGTTCCCAGCATTAGACTCTTCTCCAGGGAATCCTTCCTTCTCATTAGGTGGCCAAAGTATTTGAGTTTCATCTTCAGGATCTGGCCTTCTAAAGAGCAGTCAGGGTTGATCTCCTCTAGGATTGACCGGTTTGATCACCTTGCTGTCCAAGGGACTCGCAGGAGTCTCCTCCAGCACCACAATTCAAAGGCCTCAATCCTTTTGTGCTCAGCCTTCCTTATGGTCCAGCTTTCACAGTTAGACATTGCAACTGGGAAAACCATAGGCTTGACTATACGCACTTTTGTTGGCAGGGTGATGTCTCTGCTTTTTAGTATGCTGTCTAGATTTGCCATAGCTTTCCTCCCCAGGAGCAAGCGTCTTTTAATTTCTTGGCTGCAGTCCCCATCTGCAGTGATCTTGGAGCCCAAGAAAATAAAATCTGTCACTACCTCCATTTCTTCCCCATCTATTTGCCTGGAAATGAGAGGACTGGTATGCAGGAACTTGGTATACTTCTAGTCATGGTTTCCTTTAGAGATCAAGTTATTATGGATATCCAGTTAGGAATTTTAACTTTGTAATGACTCTTAAAACTTCAAACATAATATATTTGCCCCATATCCATAGAATAAAATGTTATGGCAATTAATTTTCATCAAAGAGTATTTGAAATACTAATAAGAGGTTTAGCAATATTCCTACTGTTACTAGCTGGTCTAGTAAAATAATGATAAGCTCAGTTACTGCCAATTCTAGATATTTAAAATCACAAGTCTACTTCACAAAAGCACAAGCCTTGTAGAGCAGTAATAATTTAGACATATAGCTGGGGAGCATTTAATTTGCCAACACAGCCATTTCTTCCTTGATTTTCCAGTGTTGTTACAGCTGTAAGAACTAGTCCCAACAATTATTGTTTTATCAAAAGAAAGCTGTGTTGCACATTTCTAAGAACCTTGGCTCCGCAAAGAATTGCCTTGCAGATCCATCTGCGGCACAAGAGATTATCTTCTGATCACCCCAATTTAGGATAAATCTGAGTGTCTGAATTGTGAAGCCCATGTCGCTCTGCCTTTGTTCTGGCCATCTGATCTCCTTATACATCTTTCAGTATCAAAGCAGTCCCACTGACCCACCTGATGAGCAGTTTCCCTGGAATCCTTACCATGCACAGAGATGTATTTTTTGTGGCAGTGCTTCTCACTGTTCTCCCTGTTTTGCACCTCGCACACATAGTCTCCCTCATCTTCTAGTGAGATATTCGGGATGGTAAGTGTCAAAGCAGCATAATTGGAGTTGGGTTTGAAGTGCAGCTCGCCTTGCATCTTAGTTGCATAGTGGTGGACATTTTTGCAATCCAGGACCAGTGGGTTGCCCTCCTCATCATGCAGCGTTGAGAGGTTGAGCCGGTACCACTGTAGGTTCTCATAGGTATAATTATCAGCATTGCAGCTTAGCCTGAGGTCTTGACCCTCAATGGGTTCTTCTGAAGGCTGTGACTCAATTTCAAACCCATTTGGGATGGCTACCAAAAAAGCAAGATAAGGAGACAATGTATGCTTCAGACTCTAATTGTGCATATGGGATACTATTTTATCTATGTCCTTATGGCTCTGTGCTTAAGAATTGTGCAAAGCCAATGATTTTGTATGTATTTACTTAAATAGATACACAAAAGAAGCTTCCTGAAGTCTGGACTTCAAATATTCTGGCCCCAAGGCAAGTTTTGCATTTACAGCTATGTCCAGACATAGAGAAGGATGAAAGAAGCCATCTATCCATGAATAAGATTGCAATATAAACACTTGCAAGACAAAGCTGCTACTATTATACAAGAATGACTTCACATTTATATGATGACAAACTGATGCAATACTTAAGAGAAGAGAGACAATAGGCAGCATGCTGAAAACTAAGCTCAAACTTAGATCAAGTTTCACTATCTCACTGTCAGCTCGGTTGGGTTTCAAATTGGCTCCCACTGGTAAGCAAATAAGTATTTCTACTATGAAGTGACTCTATAAAGGAAGCCATAACCTTGAATTTAGAACAGCTAAGCAGGGTTAATGTAAATCTAGATATGATACACTCTTTCCAGAAAACCAGACACCTAAATAATGCTATCAATTCATGGAGGAGGGCACTAGGGGGTGCTACTGCACCAAAAACACTGGGGAATTGTATACTCCAGCTTTTTGTAGAAGAGATTTTGGGTTTCTTCAGTTACAGCAAAGGTGAGAGGGGAACTGGACTTGTATTTTCATTTTTGCAGTTTCAGGACAGCTTTCCCCATTTTAAACTGCAGCAGTATTCAAGCTGGGTTTTAGCTATTAATAACTCAAATATTGATTCCTTCATATAAAGTTTACTACAAAAATTGCATTTTCACTACACATGGAACCAATATGAAATTCACATGGTGCAAATTCAAATCCAACATGGGCAAGTAGAGTATCGCCAAATTCAAATTTTGAAATGTCTGGTTGAAAACTCATTTTTCAGTTTATAATCTCAAATTTTTGTCATGATGTTGAAGCATGATTTTAGGTGGCAAATACATGGTCCTAGTGGCAGAATTTTGGTTGCAAAAATAAAATGTGAGTAACAAAATTAGAGTTTTGCCATTAAAATGAAAATTTATTGGCATTTGAGACTCTTTTTCTCTCTCTTTCAGTATTATTATTATATATAATAATAGAATGGAATATTATATAAATTTTACATTGAATGATCTTGAAATGGGCAAATATCTAGTTCAGCACTAGCTTTTGATATTGAATAAGCAGTATCTTCCAATGATGTCTGTTTCCTCATTCTCTGGGAAGACTACACTTGTACTAACACAGGGCTGACCGCAAGCACATAATCTCAGTAATGCTGTGATGGACACTCTTAATTCAATGGTCTCCTGTGCATGCACGTGCATGTTTACATTACTATGACTCCCTCAAATACCTATGTGTGAATTGCCAGTTTGAGCAAATGCCATGCGGAAAGATAAAGGAGTGAGCTCCTTTGCATTATGATACTCACTAGTAACATAGAAATAGATCAGCCGTTCATCACGACCCACTTTGTTGGAGGCTACACACCTGTACATGACAGAAACGTTGGCTTCTTGGATGATCATATTGCTGACCGTCTGGTTTAAAAAAAGAGAATAACAACATGAATGATAGTTAAAAGGAACGGATGCCAGACCTTTTCTGCCATTCCTTACCAACCTCCCAGGAGTCAGGATGATTCTCCAGTTAGCCTTCCCAGCCAGCTGCTCATCAGGAAGTCTGGGGTGATACTGCCAAGCATCCCCGATCATAGCCCATGCTGGCCAAGACCGATGGGAAATGTCATCCAAGCACCTGGAAGGCTCCAAATTAGGGAAAACTGCTCTAGCTGCATCTCTACCCTGTGGGAGCTGCCTAAGGAGACATTTAGTTCATACCAATTTGCTTCCAATTTAAATAGTTTCTTGTGTTGCTGGACTTTGACCAATCATTTGCTCATTGTTAAGAATTGTACAATATGATCTCCAAGCATCAGTTCCTGCTGCTGAGATGCTGCTGCTGCATTAAGAGACTCCTTTCAATATAAAGGGTTAAACAGGGGGCAGCGCCCCTTATTTATGAGCTGCCTCCTAGGGAACTCAGAGGGAAAAGGGTTTATACAAACAGAGAGAACATACTGAACCAACAGAGAATATGGGCCAGACAAATAAACGTGTGTATAAGATAAATACCATCCTTTTAAAGAGGGTGTACAGATGTAGTGCAAACGGAGTAAGCTCATTGCATTTGAAAATCCAACAAAATGCATGAAAAACAATTGGTCGGTACATGCTCTACACTGTGTCTGCTCTACTGATTTCTTCAGATCATTGGCAGGATAGATCATAGGCAAATTGTACTTGCTTAATTATAAAAGCTGTTAGCACAGCTTATAACCAGTCCAACCAAACTATTACCATATTCAACAAAATCTGCAGTACAGGCACATGTGGCATAAGCACACATTGCATCATTTAGATTCAATTTTAACTGTACTGCTGCAGATGTGCACTGAAGTTGTGTGGATGCAGAAGTGAGATATTGCTCTGGAGATCAGATAATAAGACAACTGAGGTAACTCATCCACAGCAAAAGAGGAAGCACAAGTGACTTTTCATCCTCTTCCTGTGCTTCTGACGTAGTGTTACTCCTCACCATTGAGATAATATATGGGTTCCTTTTTCATATTGCACATGAAAAGTGAAAAGATTTAACCTGTGCTGCTTCTTTTGCTACTTCTGTGCAATGATTGAAGCCAGTTTTATTAATGTTCTTGCCCAATGTTTCTCTGGAAACAAAAGGAACTGATTTAATCAATTTATATGGGCATAAGCCAATGGCCCTGCTATCTCCAAGGTGGCTCTGGGCAAGATGATCTTGGGGAAGGGGCTTTTAGGCAAGGCTGCCTTGTGCTCCCCAGAGCTGCCACTGCCACATTATTCAGCCAACGTGCACAGATGGCTCACCTTTTTCTCCTCCCTGCACTGTTCCCCTTACTTGCTTCTCTTTTCCTCCTCGCTTACCAAGCATGCTCGAAAGGAGATCCCTTCCTCCTTTCTCAAAATCAGTTGCAAGGTGCACTACTCAGCTAAGCAACAGACTCATGTGGAACTGGCTGGCAGGCTGACCTGCAACCATGGGAAAATGGAAAGCAAAGAAGGAAGGAATCTTCTTCCCTTTGCCGCTTGCTAAGGCAGAGGGGGGAGAGAAGTATCAGCTCCTACTCTTCTTTCCCCTGCTGCTTACTAAGTGATGTGGGGAAGGGAAAAGGGACTAAAACAGCTGTGCAATGCTAAACATGCTACCCATCCAAGTGCAGCAGAAAGCTTATCAAGATGCCTGGCTGAGCAACTCATTTGCTGTGCACAACTATTTTTTTTTAAAGAAGGGATTCCCTTCCTATCCCAATGCCATTTCATAAGCTGGAGGGAAGAAAGGGTGGGATGAATGCTTTGATCTTCACTCATCCCAGCACCACTTACCAGGCTGGAACCAGAATGAGAAAGCATTCCTTTTTGTCCCACATGTCAGCAAAAGGCCTAATGGACCAGCTGCGACTAGAAGCACCTGTCACCACCTTCACTTCCTAGCGTACTCCCCTTGCTCAGAGCTGTTCTCGAAACCAAGCTGGTGGCAAGCATGGCTGCGCCAGCTCAACAAGCCTTTGGCCGGACGATATACCTGCCACCTATGAACTGCCTTTTCCCCAAGGAGGATGCCACCCTCATCTCTGGGCAGCCACTTGGGGGTCCTCTGGGTTGTGGAAGGCCCAGACATTGGCCCAGAGCTCCATGGCTAAGAACGCCAGTGCCATGCACAATACACAGAAACCCAGAGACTGGGCCGCAAATGCACAATGCTATTGCAACTATGGTGATTCTATTCCGGAAAACACAGGGATGAGGGATTGTCTGGGACCACCCTGGGACAAAGAATAGAATTTATCTACATAATGTATTGATAAGATCATTGTTATCTTGCCTTTCAATCCCACACAGGGGCCCCACCTGTAATACATGCACTCTCTCTAGATAACACAAGTAATCAAAACCTGACATCATGCCTGCATTTGTTTCAACCTGAAAACTCATTCATTTATTCCTACTACTTTAATATTCCCCTACCTTTCTGGGAATAGATGGAATATGGAGTAATTCATGGTACATCTTAAATTCCCAGTGAGATTTTGCCCACTGACTCCTATGATACAGTTCAAATTTCCTCAGCTTTTAATTTTTAATTATCTGCTACAAATCAAACTAAAACAATGGTTTCAGCAAGAGAAGCCCTCTTGCCACCACAGCAGTATATACTAGCTCACTTTGAAGGCCAGAAGAAGGTCAGTCTTCTTATAACACAACACTCATAGGAATATTTATTTAGGATTGGACCCAAAATTCGCATTCCACCAGCAGAAGAATACCACCTGCCTCCCCACTGTAGTCCCCTCCCCACACCCCCTCCAACCCCCCCAGAGCAAATTCGGAGGGCGAGTGCTCAGGGGTGGGGGGCAGGACAGGGCTGCCTGGGGAGGGGAGGATGCAGATATCTTGTTCCACAAGGGGAATTCTTGTGCTGGTGGAAGAGCAGGTTGCTTACCTGTAACTGATGTTCTTCGAGTGGCCATCTGTGCAGTCACACATATGGGTTCTGCGCCTGCGCAGTGCCTTTGGCCAGAAGATTAACAGCTAATGGTTTTTGGCGGGAACTCCGCTCCCCCTCCCCCCTAGCATTATATAAGGAGCGGAGTGCCCGCCATTTTCCAGTCTTTGAAAGACCGACGTTTGTTCTTATAATAAAGTTTGTCAGTATGACAAGATAGCCAAATTCAGTAGTGGTATGACACATAGCAAAGAGATCATAGTATCGAAAGAAATAGTCGGACCACCCATGACACCAAGCGGGGTCAGAGGGTGGGTTGTGTGACTGCACAGATGGCCACTCGAAGAACATCAGTTACAGGTAAGCAACCTGCTCTTCTTCGTCGTGGCCTCTGTGCATCACACATATGGATAGAATAACAAGCTTACCCCAAATGGAGGAGGGAGGTGTCATCAGCGAAGGACAGAAGAAAGGACAGCTCTGCCAAAAGAGCAATCCTGCCTGGTACGGACATCGAGTCTATAATGTTTGGCGAAGGTACACGGGGTAGCCCAAATGGCCGCCCTGCACACATCTTCTATCGGGACCCCTGATGCAAAGGACGAAGAAGCAGCAACAGCTCTTGTAGAATGACCTCTTGGAGTAGATGGCAAGTCCAACTTAGCTAACTGATAAGACAGGACAATTGTATTTACTATCCATTTCGAAAGACATTGTGAAGTGACTGGACAGCCTCGGTCATGTTCTGAATATTTCACAAAAAGTCTATTGGAACGCCGAACAGACTCAGTCCTGGACCTATAAAAGGCTAAGCAACGATGAACATCCAGCATATGTAGAGATCGCTCTATCGGATTCGAAGGGGTCAGAAAGAATGCCGGTAAAACAATCTCCTGCTGCATGTGAAACGAAGTAGCGACTTTCGGAAGGAAAGATGGATCCAGCTGAAGAACCACTTTTTCCTTATGAAAATTTAGAAAAGGGGGGTCTACCCGAAGGGCGCAGAGTTCAGAGGATCTACGGGCTGAAGTCAACAAGGAAGGCAGTCTTCCATGAAGCAAGGCGTAGATCGATCGTCGCCATGGGTTCGAAAGGTGATCGAGTCAGCGCTTGTAAAACCACCGAAAGACTCCAGGTGGGCATTAGAGGTCTTATAGTTGGATACAGATTACTCAATCCTCCCAAAAATCTTTTAATCAGAGGTTGAGCAAAAATGGAGAGACCATGTATAGTTCCCCGGTAATGTGAAATCGCTGCTGTATAAACTTTTATGGACGAAGGTTTGAGTCCAGACTGATGCAATTCAAAGAGAAACTGAAGTATCTGTGAAACAGAAGCTGAGGGGGCCGGAAACGAGTGTAAATTGGCAAAGTTAGAGAATCTCTGCCATTTTGCCACGTACGACTTCCTAGTAGATGGTCATAGCGCAGATTCGAGAATATACTGTAGGTCTGGATGTAGACTCTGCTGAGCAGGAATGGCCGGGACGGTTGGTGGTGTTGATACCGATGTATCGCAGCTGGTCATCGTATCCTCCATGCAGTCAGTTTCAGTGACAGCAAGTCTGGGTGGGTGGCGGATCGTGCCCTCCCTCTGGGTAATGAGATAAGGAAGAAGAGGGAATTGGAGAAATTCCTCTTGGGAGAAGTGAAGGAGAGTTGAGAACCATGGTTGGTGTGGCCACCAGGGGGTGATCAGTATCCCTGTGGCCCCTTTGTGAATGATCTTTGCCAACACTCTCATGATGAGTGGGATCGGAGGGGAAGCATAAAAAGTCATATTTGTCCAGGGGATCATGAAAGTGTCCCCGAGCGAGTCCTGACCCATCCCCGCTCTGGAACAATAGGCCGTGCATGCCCTGTTCTGTTGTGTGGCAAACAGGTCGATGTCTGGCTGGCCCCATCGGTGAAATAGCATGTCGCGAATCCGATGGTCTAGCTCCCATTCGTGTGACCACAACATATGTCTGCTCAAGAGATCCGCGTCTGTATTTTCT